GTTGAAGAAATGGTGGAGGCGAGAGCAGTGAGGAACTATCATAAACTCTTCCAGTTGATCTGCCCCACTGGTCCAAGTGTCATTGGGACAACCAGAGACAACGCAAAGGCTCTGATTGACAATAGGGAGCGCCATATGGCTCGTTTGCCGAACGCTTTCAAGATCAGTTCAGCTGGCCCCCTGCTTCCATATCTCGTCCTACTCAGGTGATGCAGGATGAGCTATGGACGGTTAGTTTGGAGGCTCCACCGGAGGCTGTGGTCTGAAACGCGATCACAGTCCTCTGTCGTTTTCGGGCTGCTGGCCAGCATTCCCTCCAACTTGCAATATTTAAGGAAGCAAGCGAGGTCCTCTGCAAACACTGACTTCCCTGTTCGAACATGCGTGGGAGCAGGAAACCGTCCCGGCTAATTAGAGTAAATCCATTATCGTGGTAATATACCAGAAGGACAGTTGCACCGACTGTGCTAACCACAAGGGTATTAGCCTAACCCCTGTAGCGACAAGATTACTGGCCTCAACTGTCGTTTGCCGCCTCACTTTGGGACAGGAATTTCGGATTAGGCAAGAGTAGTCAGGCTTCCGCTAAGGGCCGGGCTGCGCAGACCATAAATTCACTCTGAGATAGGTGCGAACTTAGCGCCACGCATACCGCAGGCCGACAATAGCAGTGTTCCTAGACATCAAGAGTGCCTTCGATTCAATAGATCGTTGCATTCTGTTTGAAACACTTGCGCGATAAGGTGTTCCCACGAAATATGTGAACGTCGTACCTGCTGTGACTCGAATATTATGGGCCGCGTAATGGTCTACGGTGACCTGCCGGGTAAATTTCTGACAACAAGTGGCCTTCGTCAGGGTTGTTCGATTTTCCCATTTTTGTTCAATTATGTTGTACGTATCATCTGGGACAATTCCCTTGCGGAGTCGCAAGAGGCACGCATTGAGACGCTGCTTCGGGATGCGTTAGTTGATCTCGATTATATGGATGATCTTGTCCTGCTTTTTAACGGTGATGCGGTGACGCAATCAACCCTAAGTAATATTAATAGTAGTCCCCTTATTTGGCTTGCGCTTCGCACCAATGTGCAGAGTATTGTTGCAGGACCACCAGCCACTTGGTGATTCCTTGACCCTAAATACCGAGGAACTGGAGGTAGTCCGTCAGTTAACTTACCTAGGGAGCTGCATCAGCAACGATGGGTGCATAGAAACTGAAGTCAATTCACGTGTCGGAAAGGTCAAAGTGCCTTTTGAATCTGCGACATCTTTGGGGACGGAAAGGGATTTACCGTTTGAAAGGCCCTGTTCACCTGGCCATGGTGAGGGTCGTGCCACTCAATGCGAGTGAGACTTGGCACCTATTGTCTGAAAATCCGATGCGCCTTCAAGTCTTTGATCACCGCTGTTTGCGGAGCATTGCTACCGTCCGATGTCACCGGAGTGTCCGCAACAATGATGTGCGTAGGTGATTGCTAGGCAATTATACCCAAGCTAGTTCCTTAAGACAAAAGGTAGCACTGAATAAATTACGTTTGCTCGGACACCTAATAAGTATGCCCGATCAATGTTTAACTAGGAGGGCCATGCCTTGTCTGCCATATGTTGAGTGGCGCAAGGCTCGAGGTGGACAAACGTTGAGTTGGAAGCGGGAAATGAAGTCAATGACTACCAAATTAGATTCCATCGGTTCATCTCGCCTTCCAGGCCGAAGTCCTCGTGACCCGCCTTAACTCGAGCGTTTATAAGACATGGCTCGCAGTGCACCCCAGTGGCTCGTCTTCTGCCGTCTCCTAATCGTACTGCCTGTTTGAAGTGTGTTTGGTGCTGAGTTATCTGCGTGGTAACGGCTGATAACGACGCCGGGAATTGAAGGCCGATGTCGCCTTATATTTGCACGAATGCAGGCTGTTTTTGATGGAATGTGGTTGACAAGGTGTAGGTACCTTGACCCTACATGTTTGCTCAAGGCATTAAGGTTTTCCGGTAAGTCCCAAATATTTCCTAGTAGTATTCTTCGTTGCGTAGGTCGCTATGGTTGTAAATCAGCGAAGCATCAGTTCTAACGATTGATGTACTGCTATCGATGATGATGGAGATAGCTAAGTTGGTGAACCAACCTAAGCGCAAGCGTCAGAATCAATGAACAAATATGTAAGTGCTTACGTAGCTGGATGGGATCGGTGAGGACAGATGAAGCTGAATCTGGATACCGCAGTGTTTTAGCAGTTACAAAGCATTTTCTTATCACCGCGCACCGAGCCAGCCCTGATGAATCACTCACTGGCTTATTGCGCTATCGGCGGCCTCGCATGCTTAAGCTAAGGGGGTCATCGTTGTGGATCGCGAGTACCGCGGCTGGCATTCAAAGATAGCTGATTGTGATGCAAATGCGTGACAATGTATGATCGTTGACATTGATGCTTTCTCATTCACATATCACTGTTGCATGCTGTGTAATTGCTAAGAATGCACGAAATGGCGACGTCCTCTCACAATCTACGCCTTCTGATTTTGCTGTTTGAAATAGATGCCACTATTTTCCACCGGTTGCTTATTGTCTTGGTTCGGTTGAATGTCGAATGCGTAATTGAAGCTTACTAGCTATGGCTTAAGCACGACCTCACTGTAATGAACAAACCGCAAGTTGGAGGTTCCAAATACGCCGTTGGGATGCGCGCTCTACCATGCGAACAGTGGCCGAACTTTTGGGAGTATTCAGTAAAACGTATGGTCGAGTATGGGAAGACCGGATAATGGCATACTTGATTTTGCAGAATCCAACTCATATGTGCTGCTCTTTGCTTCTACTCAGTAGTCACTCAGACTTGAGAGTCTACCCGTTGAAACTAGCTGAATGTACAAGCACCTTGAGGGCCCTTGAAATTCTTTCCCATTTGTGTATGTCACCCCTGGAATGTTCTCCCTGTATCGGTCGTATCTGCACCTACACTATGTGTATGCATATATCGGTTGGACAACGCACACTGCCACTTAACTTTTGATACTTGACACTACTGTCCATCCTACGCCCAGGAACAACCATGGATTTATTTTTAGTCACTTAATGAAGCTATGAAGCTACACGGAGTGCAGGGCTACTGTATTATTTTGGCAGCAGAACGCAAGTAACTGCAGATTTCTCATTAAGGTTTTTTCCATAACGCACCGGACCACCCAAAGTGGCATGTGAAGCAACATTGGGTAGACCGTATAATGTGATTGTTCAGTAGTATGTTTAAATCAGCACCACAGCGACCTCATGCTCGTGCGGCTGTAAGGATGTTTTGATGAAAGCCTGGTTTACTTTTGCCAGACGGATTTGTTTGGGACACCTTCTGGTTAAATAGAAGTAAGGTTAAACGGCTAAACAAGAAAGTTTATTGCGCAGTAAAACAAAATCAGGCGAATCCTTTAGACAAGTGGAACCGATAAGGTTCTGAAGAAGTATTCGCCCCACTGGTTCACTGAGATCAGTAAACCCAGCTATAATATGCAGTGCTCGCATAAACCACTGGCGTCATCCGTAAGCCATGACCCATGAGGGACTAATGATACCACACTACGTCACTCCTGTCGGCGCTTGTTGCAGTTTACTGAGTCAGGGTCAGACAAGTCTTGTGCGTCCAAAACAATTGATTGCAGACCTTCAGGTGCTGTGGACCTAGGGACGACAATATCTACCGCCACCCTGCATGAACTTCGATTTCGCTAGGAAGGTGCGGCACCGCAAACACCGACGAATGAAGCGCGCGACACGTGGTCAAAATAAACGTGCCCCAATTGTCAGTACAAGCTGAGAACAAGAGGTTAAAACCAGCTAATACCCGAGGGTCAACTCGAAGCAGACCGGAAAGCCACGATCAACAGATTAGAGGAGGGCTGAAGTCAACATCCATGATCCGTCTAGCCATAACCAGAGTGGTCTCTTTCAATTCAATTCGACTCACATCGTTGGTTTCCAGTAGAATCCACTTTTACATGTATTCGCCTTCTTTTCTTTACCGGGTGTTGGTCTACTCTAATATTCCGAGACGACAAGTTTGTTGCACTCTTTGCCCCTACTCGTTGTGTTAATGATACCGAGGGGGCAATACGAAACATATCCATCAGCGTTCGTCTTCGTACTACGTTTTTCCAATCACAGAATAAATGACAACGACCAAGGACAGATGCTGAAAGAGGAAGCGCACATACAGCGCAACGGCTGGAAATCCAACATGTAAAAAAGTGTAAAGAAAATATATACCTTTTATGTTGTGCAATTCGGTGCATTGTGCAGAGCTAAAGATAGGTTTTATTGGTCATCTGAAGTTTGGGCATCGCCGACGTTCAGCAAAGCTTCTTATCTCAAGTTTAATCCATGACGCAGCCACTTCAGCATATCGTCCCACAAGTTGTGACATCGTTTCTAAATACGAGAGAAGCAAGGCCAGTTTCCGTGTACAATAACATTAATAAAAGGGAGGTTTCTCGGATTAATTCCACCCCACTCCATGAACACAAGGATACTGAATGTAGTACTCTAATAGACTCAGCTCTACCCCGCCAGTAGTGTCTACGCCTTCCTTATTATCCGTGCCAACAGATTGCACTATACACAGTAAGTCCGTTCTGTATGAGCAGTGATCAGTCTATTCAGATAGTCATTCGTGTATGGATGGGAGGGCTTCAATCCGGACAAGCGTAAACATGGCATTCGGCAGTCCCACAATGATTTTCACGTATCATCACTGAGCACCGGTTTCAGTTAAAAGTAACACAACTTGGCCAAAATACTTCACAAAGTAGGACTGGTTGCATAATAAAGCAGGAATCTCTGTTGCTTTAATGAACTACATTTAGTGCGAAAATAAACAGCAGTGGCTGAACACTATCGCAGTTCAATGATGCCGGTGCTCTTGTCAGTCTTTAGTACGTTATCATACAAACTTGAACATTACACTACCCAATCTGAACGCTGTCAGGCCAACGGGAAATAATATTCAGTATGTGTGAAACGCAGTAATAAACACTCAATATATTTCTTCTTGACCAGACCACCAATTATATGGACATGGGCAGTACGGTAGGATGTCGTTTTATGACATTCGTGACTACCGAAAAGCCGTTGCGTACATCTGAGTACATACGACTCTTGTACAATAGTTGCAAAGCGTATACTGGCAGCCTGTATGAAAGTTGCCTCTGGTTTTCGGTCTCACGGCGCATAGGGTTGATCGGGAATATCATGGAAGAAGATACTCGTAACCGCTGGATCACGAAGACGTGCAGCGCTGTGCCGTTCATAGTGTGCCGCTTGACGCAAAGTATAGAAAGCGTATTAGTATAGATCCAGAAGCTCAGCAGACATCCTCTGGGGCCGCTCCTCCTTGTCTTTTAAGGCCGACAGACCGTTGCAGAATTGCGTAATGCAGAGCCACATTGTCTGGGGAATTATCATCTACTGGATTCGCCGAGGTAGATTCGTCGCATTCAAGGGTTTCAACTGTTGGTCTAAGCTGGTGCATCAGTTCTCCCGACAACACCGCCACGGGACTGTTGATGATTGTTTGGGTCTCCTCTTCCGTAAAATCCGGTTTCCATCGAAACGCGACAGAAAACTGTTTCTGCAACCCGTGGATTAAATTCGTGCGTCGTTTTGTCCCATGAAGGTGGACTGAATTTTCCTCCGGAGTTTCCTCTAAGAAAATAAGTTGACGCTTCCGCATCTCCTCCCGAACTTCAGACACTATGGATCTGAGAGTCGCGAGTACAAAAGTTGAACTGAACGACATGTGATAACATGAATAGGTAATTAGCATGAAGTTGCTGAAGTGAGGTTCAACTAGTTTGTGCAGAAGATGAGCTCGATGACATATATGAATAAGCAATTCGCAGAACACATGAGGTATCAGAAAGAGAAAGAATATCCCTGGTTCATAAAACACTCCATAATCGCCTCGAGAGAGCCATCGAAGAAAACCCGCTCCAATACCGATTACGCACATAGCAGGAATGATACGGGTTAATACAAAATCTGCATAGATTGCAGCTACCAAACCGTCTGGTGCTGCGTTACACAGCAAACCATCATCGGTGACCATGCGGGTAAATTGACGAGCCACAATTGGAATGGGGACGAGAAAGGAGAACAGGGCGATAGGGATAGAGGAATACAGAATTACACTAAACACGTTATCTGTGAGGAGACGTTGTCGTGGGACTATTTCACTGAACAGATAGTTCCAAAACATCAGTCCAAACGGGATTACTATTAGATACGTGGCAAAGCAGCGGGTGGAGTAATCTGCGTAGACAAAAGCATGGCACCATCCCCACATCTGATCGATATTCTTCTGACTAGCTGGTTTCGCAACAGCCAGCACCAGCTGTGGTAGGGTGGAGAAAATGAGTACCAGTAGGGAAGCACAACAAGCCAACAGGCGGTACAAGAATAGTGTGCGGTCCTGTTTAGATAGCAGTTTACGAGCCATGTTTTCTTGGTCCTTGGTCATGTTGGATGTCTCACACTGCGCACTGCAATCGGTGATGGAGTACTGATTTGGTTCCGTCGACGAGCTGAGCTGACCAATGCGGATGTTAGACTCCTTGCGAACTTGTGCTGCCCAGACATATGCCGCCGCAGTCTGAAGCAGTGCTGGGATGATCACTAAAGAATGAAAAATAAAAATTCTTTTTGTAACGGCCACGTCCATCCTCAAGTTTCAAATTAAAATAACTTGTTCACAAATTATTGCGACGTCACTCTCCTAAAGAGCAGCCTGCTAACAGGTAATTGTAACTGTTTTCAATATGCCACACAGGTTATTGCCAAAAGGGGCTACTCTGTGATTCTCAGTTGACGAGAAACATGATTTAAAACTGAACAAATTACTTCATCATGACAGAGTGTAAGAAATTTGCAATCATAATTAAGCTCAGGATGATTAAGTTATCATTAAAAGCAGTCACAAGCAAATAACTACATGGCATTGTATGAAACAACCATTAAAACCAAAAAATTTGTTTTTGGAAGAAGATTGCGCTTACAAAGCACGTGGCCATTGGTGCATTCATGGTTCGGTGAATCGAACTGTAATTTTGCCGCTGTGAGGTGTTTGCCAAATTCAAGTTATAATAAAAGCAGATATGCGTCGCGACTATAGCGACGGTCAACCGAAGCACAAGATACCAAACTTCGGACCGCTTGTCTAGTGCTTCTGAACTTGATAGTAAACAGTCGAAACAAAACAATTTACGTCACGTGCTTATCATCGAGCCGAAACAAACTCAGTGATTTATGCGCGACACCGGTGTTTGAGTAATTACACCGACGAGCAACGCTATAGCTGGAGGGAATTGTGGGCCAAAAACTAAAATTTGACCCCAATTCGCCGGTGCGTTAAGACAGCAAGCAATAATTCTTGGGACTGTTTGATGGTATCGCATACCCACACTTCTTTGTAGGGAAGGCTGTTCAGCGCACTTTTCCAGATAATGCAAAATCATACGATTCAGTAGGTGTGCCACTCTGTTGCTTCGGTAACTCTGTGAACTAATTGAGCTCTAGTACCTGAAGCGGGAAAGACGTGATGTTTAATTAGCTTAGCACATTTTGCCTCCGCACTCCGTTTTACCCTTAAAGTGCGTTTTCTACACCGCTTATAAGTAGACGGCTAAATGCAATTCCGCCCAAACTCTGGGATGATTGCTTTACAAGTCAAATGGCATAATTCCTTAGGAATATGAGAACTTCAAAGGTGTCAGTAACCAGTAAAGGGAACCAAACTGGACGCGCGTGCTCTGCCACCACTGCGGTGGGCCGCTTATGTTTGCATACATGTGACTGTGTATTAGAGGTTGGCAGGCAGCAAACACTTCCGTGTTGTGTGATAAATGAACATCATGGTCAAAAACAGTCCCGTCTATCTCTGAACTAAGAAGGCCACAAGTTGGAAACGCGAATTTTACGTAGACACTTCCCTTCTATCGGGCTCTACCGATGAATATCATACGTATAATGGGCAGCGGAGTATCTGGAACAGTCATAGAAGAGCGACTGGTAGTTAAAAGAGTAGCTTGCAGCAGTTAAAGAGAACTTTCGACAATCTGAACAGGCACCTGAAACCCTTAGGTGACTAACCAATGCTAGCAGGCTAGGACGGAAACCAGTAATCTTCGGTGAAATGCGTGTCAATGGGATGACAGTCCATTTCGCCTTCGGATCCTTAAATGAGCTACTTCTGGAGAAGTCGCCTTTTGCCTCTGCCTTAAAATATGTAAACAGTGTCAGTATACGTCTAGTCCGCCTACTGTCGGATAAGAATCCAGGTGATACGCAGAAGCCCGAACAGGTTCAACGTATTACCACCAGACTCATCCAACTTTACATAGTTTACCGTACAAGAATGATGCGACAGATTTCGACAGTGTTATTGTTGGTGCGAGATGGCCTCATCATAAACTATGGTATTGTAAATCTCGGCGAATTCCTATGTTGAGGCCGCTACTTATCTCGTGAACACCATACAGAACATGCCGAGGCGAATACAAGCTTATAGCATGGGTTTGAAGTGACTTACCCACACTCTGTGCTTCGAGTGGCAGATAGTCGATAATTGGAACAGTTTGTGGAACTACATAGAGGGAGCGAACTCGCTGCAGCGACCCTACGTATTCTCGGATTCATCGTTCGCCACAATTTGTTTCATCAAATGACTGTATGGAAGCGATGGTATACGTTTAAGTTGTTTTCTAATGTATTCAGGAATTTTCTAACCTTACGATATGACCCTGGCCTAGGACGGTTTCAAGAAGCGAGCAGAATACATGGTTGTAAGCGCCAACCGAGGGAAGTTTATCGACATGATCTTTATTGATTTCATTTAAAGCAATCTACAAGGTGAAACATGAGGTCTTCCACACAAGCTGATGATGTACGGTGTTGGTGTCTTACTGCACCACTGGATCAGTGACTTCCTTATTGGGCAGAATTGGAGGCTACAGCCTGATAACCGTGTAGCTGATTGAGGTCCCACCATCAGTGGATTATACAGGGTAAAGTAGCGGGGTCCATTTTGTTCCTGATTCACATCAACGAAGTGCCTCAGCTTTATCGGTCATCTTGTGCCCTGTTTGCAGACGCTGAAGATTTGGTGAGTAACTAACGCTCCCAATGAATGCAACGTACTTCAGCACTAACTGGACTGCCCGTCCACATGATCTACAGATGTCGATCTGCCGATCAATCCTGTGTGAGTGTGCTTATGGGCGAAGTACACTCTGGCAGGCCAACCACCAACTCCCACATCTTCCTTGAGGGAACTCGGCTTGCTCTCTTGCTGCGATTTGAAATCCGTTGACGACACGAACAAGCCATTTAGAAACGGACTGTGCATGATTTACGCGTCCAAAGGATCTTCCGTCTTTGGTCAGAAGAGTTTGCTACTCGACTGTTCTCTTTCATCACTAGACCAATGTTCGAATACGGTTTAGGTGCCTTTTGTCCGATCACATGCGGCGCGGTGCAAAACTAGAATATGCTCAACATGTAGGTATCAGACTCATCCCCAATATACGGGGTATGTCGTGAGCGGACCGATTCAAGAGATTAGGGCTATGCACTCTGTGGTATCATCGCTTCCTACTGAACATCAAAATGACCTACCGGTTATTGCATCTAGGCCCATTTCCCATGATGCGTAAACTGCTGGAAGTGCGTGCACCAAGCAGCACTAGCGGCCATCGGCACAAGCTCGTAGAACCTGATCGCAAATTTCGAGCGGCTAGTAGTGAAATATTGGAACCGTTTGCAATTCACAGATGTTCATTTTGCGAATCTCAGATATATAGAGAGCGCACCACATCGGAATATTATATGGCGCGGCTAAAAGATGCAGCATATGGGCAGAAATCAGTGACGTGATTCCGCGCATTTACCCGATCTCATTATGATCGAGCAACACAGACGTAAGTCTATTAGCTCACTATTATTACTGTTCAGTATTAGGACACTCCAAGTAGAAAATCATTTGACACATTGAAAGGCGAAGAATTTTCTAAACGTTTTGATCACATTTCGTTGAAGTTGTACAGGTTTCTTTTCTACCTGTTCCGACAATACAGCGTTCAGTATTAACGGCCATATTATTGCTACGGGAGTAGTAATCTGTTTCAAAACCCCCATAGTTGTTGGATTCTGAAAAACAACCCACATCGTGTTACTGAAACATGTCAAAACTACCGACAGCCTAACAGGGGAAGCTAGATAACCTACATAATGTCGATTGATTTCAAGTGTTCCCAGTGAAAACCTACACTCGTCATATAACCATTTGGACAGCGTTCTATTCCGTCCAGTTGAACAGATAACTGAATTAGCTTCACGTGACAACTAAGTGGTGTTTCAAGTAATTGCTATTTACGAGTGTAGTGTCGTATACACGAGTAAACCCCTTTTAAATCAGTGCAGTGCAGATAATAACAATAACAACGCATTCTACAGGATACATCAATTTCTTCATAAAGACTTGGTGCACTTTGGTTCAATTTTATGTCATAAAACCGCCTAGTGACTAAGAGCAGAATCATCCACAGTTGAAAAACGGGCACAACTGAGTTGTCATACACACCCTGGGACTAGTGACATGTCAAACTTTCTCTCACAAATTTGGGAATTCATCAGTTATTTCTAAAACTTTCACGCTTTATCAAGGAGAAAAATTAACGTGTAGTTTCTAACTACCAAGCTGTAGGATTATAGGCTTACACGTCAAAGCCATATAGCCTTAAGAGAAGTTGCGCGGGGGATACTTTCACGCAAACATCACTGAAAGAAAGTTGACGATCATCGCTGCAGAAAAACTTGAAAACAACCAATTAGCAGACTTGTTGTGCGATGTTCCGTTTTAAACGTACAGGTCTCGTTAGGCAAACTGAATAGGTTCATGCTTACTGTGGTATTTAGAACAAACAGGGAATACAGCGATGTGGGTAGTAGAGCAATTGCATTACAGGTCAGTGTTGTTTCAAGCGGTGTATTAAGGATGAAAGTCTGGAGCCGAGGCTGCTCTACTCTATCGCACGCCACGCAACTACACACTGATGGTGTCACCTCGATTCGTGACGAAACGTTCGTAATAAAATTGCCAAGTTCAGCGACCAGTTCAACCGCCATCTGAAAAACGTGAGCAATTAGTCTTCAATTCTACAAACAGTCTTGCTTAAGTTGATGCTGAGTGCAAAGTTGGTCGCTGTCAAAGTGAGGGCCGAAGTCATGTGCTGCAACTCAGTCGCGCTGTGTGCAGACAACGCACAAGAATGGATTCCGCGGAACTGCCATAAATCCAGATTGCTGATGACGTGCTGGAAACAGCATCGAAACTCCGTTACCTTAGGAGCGTAATGTCTACCGACCAGCAGATGATGAAAGAACTTCGCGTCGGCGTATCGAAGGGGGCTGTCGCACTTTACAAACTGGAGAAACATGCGTGGGACAACTACCAGCTTACTGTTGGAACGAAGCTGCTGGTATACAAGTCTATGGTGTTGTCCGTTCTTCCATACGGCAGCGAAACGCAGACTGGAAGGACATCATAAATCTGGAGCGTTTAAATAACAGTGTCTTCGACGGTTTCTGCGCACCGGTTGGTACGACAGTGTTGTAGACACTGAAACGCGCCGCTGCAGTGACGTGTCTATAGTGACATGTAGGCAGTGGACTGTATAATTGTGCTGCGGCACCTGATGTGACTGGAGCATATCACCTGCATGGATTCGACGCGGCTACTTAAGCAGCTACTATATGTACATCGTAGTGTAAGGAAGCGGCACCCAACGAAGCCAAAGTTAGGTTGCCGGTGATTTTATCAAAAACAACTGTTGCTTTCAGATGTTGGGGAGCGATGGCCGTTGATCAACACGAATGGTGTGAGCTGATCAAGTGGGCGGTTGCCCAAGTGCAAACGAAGACACTATTGCACGTGCAGGAGAAACGCCTGGTACCGAAGCGCCAGACGCCGATGGGGTTAACCTCGTCGACATCAAGCAGGTGGTGCTGTAGCGCATACGGTCGCAAGTGCCTGAGCCAAGCGGGCCTCGTAAGCCTACAGTTTGGCACCGTGGGTCCAGCATCCACAAGATGACGAGCCAGTTGATTACCAAATCAGCAGCAGCGCAATCTTTTTAATCACGCTGCATTCATTTCCACTCGATCTACTAACCCAGGCCAATAAGTCAGTTGATATGACATGTGCTGCATCATTGTTCCGATTGGTTTGTACGTGCGCCTGCGTGTTGTGTTTCTTGCATTTCAAGGTATGGTGTGGGTGCGCTTGATTTGAATGTTCACAAAGTGACTACCTGTCTAATACCCACTACCTAGGTTACTGGCTCTAGAAGACTGCTAGGAGTTGCTGGGTGGACGGGTTGCACCGTCTCTGCCGTGCTATGCTAAAAGAGCATTTTCATTCAGTGCGGTTGGCTACATCCCAGTTACTGCCATGTGTTCGTCTGGTACGCATGATTCCCACGTAGATAGACAGGAAAATTGCTGCTGTGCGTGTTTAAGGAGTGTAAACCAGCTCCGTGATCAAACGTGGCTCCTATCCATGTGCCTCCTTGGATTACGCTTTCGTGTTTGCACTGTATATGGGGTGGGTGGATGAAGCTGTGGGTGGCGCAGCGCAAGCCATACATGGCCCCTCTGTAGGCGCTGGCCCCCTGTGGTTTTCCGCATGGAGGCCACATTGACAGACAGATCCTGAGTCGGATGTCGCTAACTAGTTATGATGGAAAAGTTCCTAGTAGTTCACGCTACGAGGTTATCATCCGTAAGTCCTCTGTTTAAGTGGCTTGGAAGTTATTTATTAATATCATCTGGTTTTCAACGTTAGACGTTGCAGCTGCATAGAATGTGCACGCGGACGTCAAGGGGGCTGCGCAGGAGGTTAGCAGAAACACACGGCGCATGGCACAGTAGCCGAGGGACCAATCTGAATACAAATCTCTACCAAGAAATTCATCGGAAGTGGTGCATGAAGTCCGCTTGGAGAAGGTCAGGATAGTTAGGAGGGATTTGTGAGCTCTACTCCAAAGGCTGATTGCTGAGGAAGTAAAAATCTTCCAAAACAAGAGTTTAACAAACAGAATGGATAGTGTGGAGCTGTCGAATGCGTGGTAGCCCGTCCTTATTAGGCTAGGCTGAGGCGGCTCCAGGGCAGGGAGTGAACATCAACCCATCCCGCCCTACCAGTGACATGGGCCTAGAAACGATGACCTCGTGACATAAAATCACTAGAAATCTTTCTATCTTTAATATAGCGCATAAAATGAGGTGCTGACCTGAAGCAGATTTACTCACCTACTCACAACTCGATTGTTCCTGTGTACCATAATTTTTATGACAATCATCCATTGGTCCATTTGATCTGGAAAAGCTTTGTGCCAGAAGGGAAACTTTGCCCACCACGTATATCAACCGGTTGTTTTTAAGTCCGACTGACATTACAATTTCTCATTCTGTTCGATGGTCAACAATAGGGACCAAAACTTTGGTCGGATCTGCGTCCAAAAATGGTGGTTTATGCAATTTTAACGGTCATGCAGAAATGTAAAGTATCCATGGACTGGATATTGTTTGATAAAGTTGAGTGGCGATATGTGTGAAATGGAAAACGACAGCATAAGACATCAGAACTCAATGAGATCGTGGCTACTTAATACGCGAAGTGGAAACTTACGTAAAAGACCGACGACAAAAAATCCGGATAGCAAACACGTAACAAACTGCCGAACGGGTGTGGTGACCATCATTGTCATCTCAAATAATGCACCAATCAACTCGTACACAGGGTCGTAGGCGATTAGTTCATTCGTTTTGTTCTGCATCCCATTCAAGCACAATATTCCGCGATTCACATATTTTCGAAACTTTGGCACACTTGTCGTGCAAACGCCACTGTTTTTGAACTCGACTCCGGTTCAATTCAACGCTTGTTTGAATCGGAACACATAGTCACCAAAATAAAAGTTTGCATCAAGCTTAATCGCCCAGGTCCGCTATTTATCGTAACGTCATTGGTTGGGTGATGGCAACCCGCATCTATGCACTAGCGGATGAGGGGAAATAACAGTGCTGCGGTCAGCAGCAAAGACATCGTTAATTGGTTAGCGAACTGCATGGCAATGGGACAGTGTCAGAAATCGCAACCGACTGCCTGGTTGTTGCTTCGAAACCAAAAGGAATGTGTGGGTGTGGGTGTGTGGAGTGGTTTAAACCTTGTTGAACTAATCCAATATCAGAAATCCTTAGACTCGCTGCAAGTTGAATGACGCGCTCGAATTTTCTGCCCCAAAAATATGACCGTGTTTCCGACACCTGGTGGTGCGTTTTATAAACGGCCACGTGAAAAAGGTACAGGCGAGCGAAAATAAGGCACCGCCTATCAAACATAGCTAAAAGTGATTTCCCGATCGCTACAACAAATGTCGCCAGCTGGACTGAGTGAATTGGTAAAGTATGTGTCTAGCGACAATCCTTACACGTTTGGTACAATTTCCTGCTCCGATCATCATTAACCCAAACCATAAGTGAACAGATTGGATGCGAGCAAAGCCAAAATGGTACATGCATGCTTAACTTCGGATGAAAGTAATGTGTTGGAAAATATGCTACCAGTTGTATCGTTAATTACGATACTTTCTCTAGTACAGTATAGTATTCTGCAAGCGGATATAGTGCATGCTGGACCATAAGTTAAAACTGGGAACAAATAAAATAGTTGCCTCGACGGGTGTCGAACCTCGGTCCACGAATTTCCGGTCCGCTGCTCTACCACCTGAGCTACCGAGGTGGTAGAGCAGCGGACCGGAAATTCATGGACCGGGGTTCGACTCCCCGTCGAGGCATATTATTGTGTGTGAATTTTAATCGTGACTTCTACTTTCTACAAAATAAAATAGTTGTTCAATTTCGACTAGAGGTACAGTAATCCCAAGCGAACGAAGCTGGTCTGGGGAAAGTCGTACATTAGGCAGAGCACAGACGCCCCGTGGAGAGTCCACATCATTCGGCACCACCTGATATATCATTCACAATAGTTATACATAACCGGTCACAACTACCACCGAAGTGATTGCTTAAAGAAGTCGGAAAGCTGCGTATCATAACGAAGTAATGAGCTAACGGGATAAATACTGGATCATCAAATTAGTGCAAAATCGGTGCTAAAAATGCTGCCTTCAGCGGGAATTCAGTAATTGTCTTTATTGTCTGGCTCTTATCACTTGGTTTTCAATACGGAAGTTCGCTATCTATTGTTTAGAATATCTCCTATATGATTAAGCTAAGTGGTTTTTGAGTTCTCGTCGCCAACATAGTTACATTCTAACCTTCTTGCATCCACGGACATCAACTTTGTCGTTGCTATGCCTAGGTGCGGGAGACTGCGTGGTGGTCAGTGAATACTATGGCAAGAAATAGTGAAAAACGGTCTAGCAACTTATACAGGCTTATATGTCCCGTCTTACCGGATGGAGCTCCAAGAATCAAAGTATCTGACCTGCCGCGGTCACATAGTCAGTGATCAACCTACATTTGTCTTCATAATCCGTATGTTAACGTTTCGAACCGAGGGCGATTCCTCACCTTTATTCTAGACCCGAAATATTCATTTTCTACCTCAATTTCCAGTTGTCGCTAATGCTCATTAATACGGTGACGGTAGACAAAGTGAATGGACTAACCTCACTTCTGCATTCGGATCAGGGATGTGTAATTGAACTGGGTTTAGTGCCCGGAACCCATCACACGTCAACACGAAGGATGTCCAGTATGTCTGCAAATGTGCCTAGTCATTCTTTTGGTCTTCGCACACAAAAAACGGACAACATCAGAGAAACAGGATAGCATGGCCAGGAAGTGGGTTTTTGCTGCCAGGAGACTAATTGGAACTAAGGTACCACCTGTACTGATGCCAAAATATCCCGGGTACAGAATATGGGCTGGATTATCACCATGTGGACAATTCGGGGAAAGTTTACTTCTAACTTGTAAAAGACACAAACTTCAGAACCCATCGCTTTTGCTTGATAACTACGATGGTGTAGTGGCATATTTGACATTCTCTATCCAGGTCAGTTTGAAATAGTGCAATATCATCTGGTGTGTTGATCGCCGTCCAAACCTTGCGGCCATCGGTATGGGGTAGAGTAGGTGTATTATATTGTGAATATATGCCATGCGCAAGGCGCCCGTACCGATCCCTGTGGAACTCCGCGGTTGACTTGAATGGGATCTGAGAGATATATACGTACTTTTATCTTCAAGCGCCGGTATAGCCGGAAACTCCTGATCTACCCTAGGAGAAGACCACCAATAAAACCAAAGGTTTGGAGCTTGGAGAGCGAAATTCCATGTTCTAACCGGTCGAATGCATTTGAGAAGGCGAGAAAAATTCCTGACTGTGTGTCTACTTCTTCAGCCCAACGGGATCGTGCTAGTGGTGGATTTGCAATGCACGATCGATTTTGTCGGATGTCATACTGTTCTGGTGCAAGGTAGGTAAATTCTTCCAAGTAGGCAGTTAGCGCATGAGGAATAATGGCTTCCATGGTCTTTGAAAGCATCGGGATTTAGGTTATGTGACGGTAGTGAGCTGGATCGAAACGGCTACCTTACTTTTGAATTGATGTAAGCATCGCTTGTTTTCAATTGTTTAACACGTATAGTTCGTCGAGACAATGTTATCAGAAGCATGCTACAGACTCAGCTAAACTCTCTCCGAAAGTGACTTCAGCTGAATGTTATCAACTGCAACAGATCTGTGCTTACGCATATCCAACCGCGTTTTAGGAGTGTTTACCGTGCAGGCAAAGTGTGTTTTTGGGGGAAAGCGACAATTGCATACGGTTAGGTGGCTACTAAACGTACCGTGAGGTTGCAGAACATTGCAGTTGCAGGGCAATCACCGCAGCCTTCATGCTTAATGTCAGGCCATTTATTGGATGAAGAGGAAAAATTGCTCAGTTCACTTCACCTAGGCTGTTTACATGTCGATGCACAAACTTGTGATTTGTGGCCACAAATCTTATCAAATCCTGCTGCTAGGCCACTGTATATCAGTGGACAAGTTGAGTACGATGGACAGGTTGAATAAAATAGAATATTCGGGGCTATTGAAACAATGAAACAATGGTGTATTACGGTTAAAAAGGAATGCTTAAAAAGTCCAGTGGGATGCAGAACAGTGTAAAAGTGAATTGTATGATAAAGTGAACAGAGTTTTGGTGGATTCACCATAGACTTATTTAGAATAGCGGGGATGTTCGCTTATGAAAGGTGTAACTCCATAAATCCATTGGTTGGGCGTTTGGTAAGATACCGTTTAATTGCGTTTTGTAGCCCCTGGCTAACAAGTCCTAAAATAAAAAGCAAATGAGACAACACAACTTCAACACGTTTTTTAAACACTGCAAGACTATGAGAAGAGACGACGAAATTAGTGAGGGCGTTCCAAGGCTGTAAGACGCGAAAGGAAAAGAAATTGCTATGGCATTCAAGCCGGCTATACTACATTGTCAGTTTCAGAGGATGACATGTTCGGTCAGTTTTATGGTTCAATTCCAGCAGCGGACAGCACATATTGTTCGGGCACTTCAACATCTGGTAAATCATTATGAAATCCTCCCGCAAACGCCAATATCGACTGCTGTACATCCTTAGAGATTTCAATCTAAGCTGATAGGGCAGCTGAAAGAGGCCCCTGACAATTTTGGTTGCCCTTCATTAAGGAGTCTCGAGAGCAACGAGATCCTGTTCTTGCCACGGCTGCCACGCCTGCCACGCTTGGATAGCATATTTTACCTGCGGTTCCACGTGTGGTGCTTGCGTCAGAAAAACCGGTATGCTCCTCGGTTTCCGATCCAGTTGGGGATGATATCAATTTTAAATGACAGTTATTTTTGGAGGTAACCTTAACTTTTGTTATCACTGGCTTGCTCTTTTTCTAAGCACTCCGTTGGGAGTTTGGAAGTAGGCTTACGTTTAGTTACTCCGATCGAACTGGGAACCGCATCAGTGCAATGTGATCCACGTGTGGTATTGGAACAGCAGTTGATGTTCTGGGCTCTTGGTGTCGTGTTGCTTACGGTGTTACTGGCAGTTCTCCTCTGAATAGGAGCAGCGTTTACGGAGAAGCACAACCATAGAACAACCGTAATGATTTTGGTGGTCCCCTTTTCCTCAAACTTGTCTACTAGCTGATCGTACTTCTGATATAATAGGAGCACGTTTTTATTAGTAGGATCGATATGCATTCCGCGCAGAAACATAGTGAGTCTGGTTTGTTTAATAACTTGGCATGACTACGTTTAACTCGAACGCATTTCACATGGAAAATCTTGCAGGAGTTATGGCATAAAACGCCCGCCTTAACGAGTTTGGAACATGATCCACCTACGTATTTAGGCTGTGACACAATGGGCATCAAGCTTCTCGAACAAAGGTTACGAACCAGGGCTGAGGCACCGATCCCGTGTTTTAACCCTTGGGAAAAAGAATATAGTGGTCCGGGTGAGCAAGCGATTTAGATAAGTCCAGGTAGACGACGTCAACTAATAATTTGCACCGATAAATTCCATCCAGCTTGCTCTTGCCATCACCAAGTTCGTGGTACAGGATTGATTTCGATGCAATCCATGCTACTCTAGCACCCTAATTTCGTTGGTATCAGGGTATCTCATGAACACCTCCATGCAAATTCCTCCAATCATTTGAAAAAGGGTTGCTCACGAGTTAAAAAGCAAGTAGTTGACAAGTCCCATGGGATGGTTAGGGTGAATACTATAAACTCACGATGCATGTAAGTCATCAACCGAGTGTCTACTGAGATAAAGGTGTTGATGCATAACGTTATTACGAAATAAAAATGGAGTGTAAGCATACAGAATTGCACGGGGTGTAGTGATCGTTGAGGTAAGGCGTGAGAAAAGTAAATTATAGTCGTTCATTTATGCATCGGTCTCTTGTGTCTATCTGA